AAAAAAAAAAAAAAAAATTCAACCAGGCACAGGGAAAAGAAAAAATGCTGAAAAATTTTTAGTCTTGCAGGTCCCGAGTGTCCTTGGGGTTGCTAGAAAACAGAATGTGTTCTTAAGCCCCAGGAATCTGTGAGAGTGCTGTCTCTTTAAATATCCAAAATAGTCAAGCTGCTTTTAAACCTTCAAAATGGCAGTGTCCTCTGGACTGGCAAAAGTCCACAGCTCAGCCCACCTTTCTCTTCACCTTCTCCATGTGTTCCGCAGTGACCGTGCACAGTCCCCTGTGTAGTCTCTGGGTAGCAGGGTGATTTTTAGGTTAACTCTTAGGTCCTACCACCACTCAGGAATCTCCAAGCTGTCTGTGCCATCAGGATCGCTCAGGATCGCTGGCAGACCACAGCTCCGTATGTCTCATTTGGTATTTTCATGCAAATTCTTCTGCTAGTTGGGGTTTAGTCCACTTCTATATCCTTCCCTTAAAGGCTCAGAGGTCCAGGATTATCTTCTGTGTCTGTGTTAATTGGTTTCCCTTTTCTTTGTTGAAGAGGGTCTGTGCAGTCTTTCTGCCTAGTCCGCCATCTTGCCAGAACCTCTCTCAGGAAATATATACTTTACCTCGTAGTGGCAGCATGTCAATGGCATATTGTATGAAGAGCACATGGTATGGGATGTATATCAGTACAGCCAATCTTCAGAAAAATACAACAAAATTACATTTAAAATTACAGAAATTAGGAGGATCTAGATGTTTTTATAGGGAGTTCCGGTGGTGCAATATATAAGGACTTTGTTGTTAACTGAAACTTTGGCAGTTTCAACTCAGCAGCCATGCCTTGGGAGCAAGATATGGCAGTCTGCTTCCATAAAGATGTACAGCCTTGGCAACCCTATCAGTCAACCTTGTGAGGCAGTTGTACTCTGTTCTATAAGATCACTTTGAGTCAGAATGAACTTGATGGCAACAGGTTTGGTTTTTTGTTTTTAGTAACCCAACTGTTTGGGAAATTCAACAGAAGAAAAAACAGAGTTCCATAGAAGTAAATTATCTACATGAAGCTGTTCAACTAGTTATTCCAATGCTCACAATTGAACCAGGTTTGTTAAATCCCAATTGTGTAGTAATTTACATTATGAAAATCTTACCAATGTGTCTGAATTTCTTTACTGATTAGAAAAGGGGTGAAATGTATTTGAAACTATCTATCTGCATTAAAACAAATAAAATTCCTATTTATGAAATGTTTTAACTATTATAACTAATTTTGGGGAAGGAGTCTTCCCAGCTGGGACTGAAAAATCTGTAGGTGTATCTGATAAACAGGCTGGCTGGTTACCTCTTTCAAATACACTTGCATGAATGGGGCAATGTTTCACAAGAAAAGAAGAGTGGAGAGTATAATGTAGTGTCTATTCCTCATTCTTATTCCATGCAGTTTTTTGCTTGAGCTTTAGGGAATCAGAGTGTTGAACCAAAAGCTGTTTCAAAAGGAATTTGTGAGACTCATAGTTTAACAAGAGTTGCTTTGGGTCTTAGGTGATACAAGTACCATCAGGAGCAGTCCCCATTTTACGCACAGAACATAATGAATGGAATACATTGTTGATTTATACATTGAGATTTGGCAGGTTTGGAAGAACTATTAATAATACCCAAGGCAGAGAAACAGTATTTTCAAAGAAGTTGTTGCAATAATTAAAATATGCATGTACTTTCCTCTAATGAGCCATGAGCACTGGGCATAAACACAGAAGATGATGGGGGATTGTTGCTGTCCAGGCAGAGAGATCCTGAGAAATCTTAGCAGTTCTAGGATTAGTTATTACTGGGCTGTGGGTGGTATGGGGAAGGTAGAAAGGGGTAGTTGAGGGATGCAAAGAGGGACAATAAAATTTGAGTATAAATGCTAATGCAGCCTTATTTTGATCCACACACAGATGAACCTCATGAAAATTTGGATCACACTAATATGTTATCTACAATTATTTAATTAGCAATTATTTTATTTGACTTATTAGAATTTTGATGGATTGGGAGGAATGATTTGGATAACTTATGTCTAAATACACTGAACTGTTATCTATTCTTCATTGGGAATCAAGCAGAAGGATATAAAATCATTCCATTTATCACCTTTTTCAAAAACATTTACCAAAGCATCTAACTATTTGAAAACATCATTGCAGTTTTTTTCATTGTTGTTGGCATTGTTATTGTTGAAATCAGGAGAATCACATTTTCTTTAAACTAGCTGTTCTGTTTACTGCTTTATTCTTTGCTGTTCCCAGAATCCTAATACTTCCTTTCCCACTTCTAAGTCCTCATGTCACCCAAAAGCCAGGGGGCTTTGGAGGCTTACAAAAATACAGCTTGAGCAGTTGTGTCACTACAGGGTTTTGTGAGGTGCAGACCACCCTGGGTGCCAATATCAGACAAGTGACACAAAAATGACTGTCTATAAAATTTTTGTACTGTGTTTCAGCAGAAATTTATTGTATTTTTTGGTATATATATATATATACACACACACACACATATGCCACTCATCTGTTTGTTGTACTATGGTGGCTTGCATGTTACTTTTGAGGCTAGAGACAGTGCCATCAGTATTTCAGGTATCAGCAGGGTAGCCCATGGTGGACATGTTTCAGTGGAGCTTCCAGACTAAGACAGACTTGGAAGAAGGGAGGGACCATCCATTTCTCAAAGAACTGGCCAGTGAAAACCTTATGAATTACAGTGAAACATTATCTGATGCATTACTGGAAAACTTTATGAATAGCCCTGAAACATTGTCCAATATAGTGCCAGAAGATGAGCTCCTCAAGTCAGAAGGCACTCAAAATGGGACTAGGGAAGAGCTGCTCCATTAAAGTAGAGTTAATCTTAATGATGTGGATGGAGTACAGCTTTTGGGATCTCCATATGACCTTGTGCTGATGTGGTATGACTCAAAATGGGAAGAAACAGCTGTAAACATCCATTAATAATCAGAATGTGAAATGTACAAAATATAAATCGAGGAAAATTGGAAGTTGTCAAAAATGATGGAATGCATAAATATCAATATCCTAGGTATTAGTGAGCTGAAATGGACAGGCTTTGGCCATTTTGAATCAGATAATCATATCCCGAACACTTGATTGTACTCATGAGGAACCTGTCCCTTGACCAGGAGGCTGTCGTTCAAATGGAACAAGGGAACACTGCATGATTTAAAATCAAAAAGGGAGTGTGTCAGGGTTGTATCCTTTCCCCGTACTTATTCAATCTATATACTGAGCAAATAAGCCAAGAACCTGGACTACGTGAAGAAAAATGTGGCATCAGGATTGGAGGAAGAATCATTAACAACCTGAGATATGCAGACAGTACAACTTTGCTTGCTGAAAATGAGGATGACTTGAGGCACTTACTGATGAAGGTTGAAGAATACAGTCTGCAGTATGGACTACATCTCAATATAAAGAAAACAAAAATCCTCACAACTGGACCAAAGAGCAGCATCACCATAAATGGAGAGAAGATTGAGATTGTCAAAGAATTCATGTTGCTTGGTTCTACAATTGATGCCAATGGAAGCAGCAGTCAGGACATTAATGACGTGTAGCACTGGGAAGGTCAAACACGAAGGAACTGTTTCAAGTGCTGAGGAGCAAGGATGTTTCCTTGAGGACTAAGGTGCACCTGACACAAGCCATGATATTTCCAATCGCCTCATATGCATGTGAGAGCTGGACAATGAATAAGGAAGACCGAAGAAGAGTTGATGCTTTTGAGTTGTGGTGCTGGCAAAGAATGCTGAAAGTACCATGGACTGCTAAAAGAACTAACAGATCTGTCCTGGAGGAAGTGCAGCCAAAATGCTCCTTGGAAGCAAGAATGGCCAGACTTCATCTCACCTACTTTGGTCATGTTATCAGAAGGGACCATTCCCTGGAGAAGGATGTCATGCTTGGTAAGGTGGAGGGTTGACGAAAGAGGGGAAGGCCTTCAACGAGATGGATTGACACGGTGGCTCCGATGATGGACTCAATTATAGCAGGGATCATGGAGCTGGTGCGGGATGGGGCAGTGTTTTGTTCTGCTGTGCATGGGGTCACTATGAGTTGGAACTGGCATCTAACAACAACAACACTGTGCTGGAAATGACAAATTGAAAAAGAATGGCATGATATTCATTGTCACAAAGAACGTTTCAAGATCTATCCTGAGGTGCAATGGGGTCAGTTAGGATAATATCCATACACCTACAAGGAAGAGCAGTTAATACGACTGTTATTCAAATTTACACACCAACCACCAAAGGCACAGATGAGGAAATTGAAAAATTTTATCAACTTCTGCAGTCTGAAATTGACCTAACACACAATTAAGATGTGTTGATTACTACTGGTGATTAAAATGCAAAAGTTGAAAACAAAGAAGAATCATCAGTAGCTGGAAAATAACGCTTTGGTGACAGAAATGACACTGGAGAACACATGATAGACTTTTGCAAAACCAGTGACTTACTCACTGTAAATACCTTTTTCCAACAACACAAATGGTGGATTTACATACGGACTTTGCCAGATGGAATACACAGGATTCAGATCGACTACATCTGTGGAAAGAAGCAATGAAGAAGCTCAATATCTTCAGCCAAAACAAGGCCAGGAGCTGACTGTGGAACAGATCATCAACTGTTCATGTGCAAGTTCAAATTGAAGCTGAAGACAATTAAGATCACGAGAGCCAAACTATGACCTTAATTTTATCCAACCTGAATTTCGAGACCATCTGAAGAGCAGATTTGATGCATTGAACAACAATGACCAAAAACCAGATGGATTGTGAAATGACATCAAGAATATCATACTTGGAGAAAGCAAAAGGTCATTAAAAAGACAGGAAAGGGAGCACATCTTCCACTGGCCTGATATCCTCTTCACCAGCTGTCTTCCAAACTCCAGCCTTACCTCACTAGAAATGGACCCCAACTGCTTCCGCACCACAGGTGGCTCTTGTATTTGCACTGGCTCCTGCAAATGCAAAGACTGCAAATGCACCTCCTGCAAGAAGAGCTGCTGCTCTTGCAGCCTCATGGGCTGTGCCAAGGGCCTCCAAAGCTGCAACTGCAAAGGGGCATTGGACAAATGCAGCTGCTGCGCCTGACAGGGGAGGGCCCTGCCCAGATGGAAATAGAACCACTTGTACAAAGCTGGAGTTTTCTTTTTCACACAACAACCCAGATCTATTTGATACATTTCCGTTTTCTATCACATTTGTGGATGACAACAATCACATCCAGTCTCAAACAAACAAACAAAAAAAGACAGCAAAGAAAGAGAAGACCAAAATGGCTATCGGAATACACACTGAAACTTGCTCCTGAACAGACTAGCTAAAGCATATGGAATAAATGACGAGCTAAAAGAGCTGAACAGAAGATTTCAAAGAGCAGCTCGAGAAGACAGAGTCAATTAGTATAGTGAAATGTGCAAAGACCTGGAGTTAGAAAACCAAAAGGGAAAAACATGCTCAGCATTTCTCATGCTGAAAGAATTGAAGAAAAAATTCAAGCCTTGAATTGCAATATTGGAAGATTCTATGGGCAAATAGGAGCTCTGGTGGCATAGTGCCTAAGGCATTTGACTGCTAACCAGAAGGGTGGCAGTTCAAACTCACCAGACATTCCTCAGAAGGAAGATTGGGCAATCTACTTCCATAGTGATACCACCTTGTAAACCCAAGGAGGGGTCACTATGAGTTGAATCTGACTCGAGGGCATTGAGGATTTTTTTTTTTTCTTTTCAGTATGGGCAAAATAATGAATGATTCAGAAATCATCAAACAAAGATGGAAGGAATACACAGAGTCACTGCACCAAAAAGAATTGGCCAATATTCATCCACTTCAGGAGTTGGCATATGATCAAGGACCAATGGTATTACAGGGAGAAATCCAAGATGCACTGAAGGAATTGGTGAAAAACAAGGCTCCAGGAATTGACAGGATAGCCATTGAGATGTTTCAAGAAACAGATGCCACTCTGGAGACACTTGCTTGTCTATGCCAAGAAATTTGGAAGACAGCTACCTGGCCAACTAAATGGAAGAGGTCATATTTGTAACCATTCCAAAGAAAGGTGATCCCACAGAATGTGGAAATTATTGAACAATATCATATGCAAGTAAAATCTTACTGAAAATAATTCAAAAACAGTTGCAGCAGTATATTGACAGGGAACTGCCAGAAATGCAAGCTGGATTCAGAAGAGGGCATGTAATGAGGAATATCACTGCTGATGTCAGATGGATCTTGACTGAAAGCAAAAAATACCAGAAAGATGTTTACTTGTGTTTTGTTGACTATGCAAAACATTCAACTGTGTGGATCATAACAAATTATGAATAACATTGAGAAAATGGGAATTCCAGAACTCTTAATTGTGCTCATGAAGAAACTGTACATAGTCTAGGAGGCTGTCATTCAAACAGAGCAAGGGGATACTGCATGGTTTAAAATCAGGAAGAGAGTGTGTCAGGGTTGTGTTCTTTCACCATACTTATCCAATCTGTATGCTGAACAAATAATCTGAGAAGCTGGACGATATGAAGAAGAATGCAGTATCAGGATTGGAATACTCATTAGAAATCTGCAATATGCAGACGACACAATATTGCTTACTGAAAGTGAAGATGACTTGAAGCAATTACTGATGGAGATTAAAGGCTATGGATTACACCTCAATGTAAAGAAAATGAAATCCTCACAATTGGACCAATAAGCAGCATCATGATAAATGGAGAAAAGATTGAAGTTGTCAAAGATTTCATATTACTTGGTTCCACAATAAACACCAATGGAAGCAGCAGTCAAGAAATCAGATGACGTATTGCACTGAGAAAATCTTCTGCTAAAGGCCTCTTTAAAGTGCTTAAGAGCAAAGATGTCTCTTTGAAGATTGAGGTGCGCCTAATCCAAGCAATGGTGTTTTCAATTGTCTCATAAGCATGTGAAAGCTGGACAATGAATAAGGATGACTGAAGAAGAGTTGATGCTTTCAAGTAGTGGTGTTGGTGAAGAATACTGAAGGTACCATGGACTACCAGAAGAACTAACAAATCTGTCCTGGAAGAAGTGCTTCCAGAATGCACCTTGTAAGCAAGAATGGCTAGACTTTGTTTGACCTACTTTGGCCATGTTGTCAGAAGGAACCATTCTCTGGAGAAGAATATCATGCTTCATACAGTGGAAGATCAGCAAAAAGGGGGAAGGCCCTCAACAAGATGGATTGACCCCGTGGCTATAACTATGGACCCAGGTATAGTAAGATTGTGAGGCTGGTGCACGACCAGGCAGTGTTTCATTCTGTTGTACATAGATAGGGTCACTATGAGTCAGAGCCAACTCAACGGCACCTAACAACAACAACATTTTTATGCAATATTTCAGCAGACATTTATTGTAATTAAAAAATATATCTCTGTAGTCTATTATAACAACAAAACAGTTTTCATAAGCCCAGGTTAAACCCAAACCACATCCACTGCCATGAAGTCCATTCTGACTCATAGTGATCCTGTATAGTAGAGTAGAACCGACCTGTAGGAAGTCCAACACTGTAAACCTTTGTGGAACAAGTCTGCCACATTTTTCTCCCTCAGAGGGGTTGTTGTTGTTGTTGTTATGTGCCGTCGAGTCAGCCCTGACTCATAACAACCCCTCCTTGGGTTTCTGAGGCAGTATCACTACGGAAGTAGGATTGCCCAACCTTCCTTCCGAGGAGTGGCTGGTGGGTTTGAACCGCCAGCCTTCTGGTTAGCAGTCAAGTGCTTTAGCCACTATGCTACCAGAGCTAGTGGATTTGAACTGTCAGCCTTTTGGTTAACAGCCCAATGCATTCACTACAGTGCCCCTAGAATTCCTTTAAGGCCTTGCACCATTATACCTACAATGTTAAAACTCTAAACTAACTTACTTTTTGAATCTTCTAGGAGCTCTGGTGGTGTAGTGCCTAAGGCATTTGACTGCTAACCAGAAGTCTGGCAGTTCAAACCCACCAGCCACTCCTTGGAAGAAAGATTGGGCAATCTACTTCTGTAGAGATACTGACTCAGAAATCCATGTAGGGGTCATTATGAGTCAAATCAACTCGATGGCAGTGAGTTTGATTTTTAATGTACTGTGGTCAAACTTGTCATAAATAAACAAGTACAATGACACTTCCAATTATGTGGTTTCACCTGCACATGCTAATGTAATTTAAAGGTATAGTTTTAATTTTCTAGTTGTTTATTTCACTATTGCCATTACATTCAATGATATATGGGTATCAGTATTTATGAGTAACATTAGTAGAAAAGAACATTACTAAAAATTCTGTGTGATCTGGTATAGGAAGAGGTCCATGGTGTATGTGGGGGTGGCAACAAACCAAGTGATGCCACTGAGTTTGAGTTATGTGTGCAAGTGTAGTGAAATTAAGTAAGTCGTAGAAGTTAGGTAAATTGGTATCAAAAGGTACCAAACGTTTTGAGATTCAAACCTCAGACTTGCCATTGATTGACTACTTGAATTTGGGCCTCAACCTCCTCATCTGCAAAATGGGGATTTTATGCACACACACACACACACACACACATACTTTGTTATGAGGATCAAATGAGCTAATACACAGAAAGGTACGTAGCACCTAGGTCATAGAAAATTATGTGCCAATGTTTTCTTAAATAGTGCTAGCTGGATAGAGTGGCTCTACCCAGTACTTCCAGGAATCCCTGTTCACATTATATTCTTCTGCATGAACTGACCTGTGTCTAATGGTCTTTGTGGAGAAGTGGAGCACAGATGTTAAATGGATAGTTTGGGATGAGCAGAGGTGCAAAAAATAAAGCTTTGAAAAGTAATAACAACCTTTTATTTATTACTGATACATCTTAGGCATAAAAGTGAATGTGAAACTGTTCTATTTCCCCTGGGCTTAGAAATTTTCACTTCTAAGTCCCTTATAGCAAAAATGAGCAGAGGTGACTCGTGGTGGTGATTCAGAGGTCTCCCTATATTTAGCCCTGGAAAACCAATGAAGAGAGTTGGACTGTGAGAGCAGGTTCTCAAAGCCCAGATCAACTTTTGGCCTAGAAACATTCCATCAAAGCGCAGTATGCAAGCTAGTGCCTTGACAGTTGGTGAGCATGAATTTTTAAAAAAGAAAATCTGCCATGTGAGGCATAGAAGGCATCCCTTGGATCAATGCTAGGAAGAGTTACAGAAATGTAACTGTAAATAACTGAGTTCTATATAAAATGTAAAATAAATCCCTAGGACCAAGGTGACATTTACAGTAAAGATTTCACAGAAAAGGAGATGGTCAACATTTTCCTAATATATTAAATATTTTACTATGCTAAAATATGTCTAATATAAAACTTGCCATTTTAACCATTTTCAGGAGTACAAAATTAAGTAGTATTAATTACATTCAGTTCAAATGCTGAGGAGCAGAGATGTCTCCTTGAAGACTAAGGTGCTCTTGATACAAGCCATGATATTTTCATTTGCCTCATACACACATGAGAGCTGGACAATGAAACTTGGCACACATTAAGCAATAACTCTTGATTACTGACTCCTGCAGCCCCTGGTAACTTCTAATCTACTTTCTGTCTCTAGGAATTTGGCTATTCTGGGTATTTTATATAAGTGGGATCATACAATATTTGTCCTTTTGTGTCTGGCTTATTTCATTTAGCATCATGCTTTCAAGGTACAGCCATGTTGTAGCATGTGTTATAACTTTATTCCTTTTTGTGACTGAATTAATATTCTACTGTAAATATATGTCCATTCTTCTATTGATGGATACTTGTGTTCTCACTTTCAGCAATTGTAAATTACACTGCTATGAACATTGGTGTTCAAATGTCTGTTTGAGTTTCTGCAGTTCATTTTGGTATATACCTAGAAGTGGAATTGCTGAGTCATACGGTCATTAAAAAGACAGAAAATGAAGAAAAGACAAAAATGGTTGTCAGAAGAGACTCCAAAACTTGCTTTTGAACAGAGAATAGCTAAAGTGAAAGGAAGAAATGATGAGATAAAAGATCTGAACAGAGTATTTCAAAGGGCAGCTCAGGGAGAAAAGGTGAAATATTATCATGAAATATGCAAAT